TGGGAATAATGACAGTGTTATTTCCTTCTTTTCATCCTTTCCTTTCCCTTTCCCTACTGCGCTGGTCCAGTGTTGAAACAGAAACAATGAGCGAGGGCTTCCTTATCCTAGTCCTGCTTCTAAAGAGAATACTTCTAAAGTTCGACCATTGAAGTGTGATGTTTTCTGCAAGTTTTTGGTAAATAATTTTTTTTTACCTCTTGATGTGAATTACATAAACATGTTTTCAAATGTCAGACCATCTTTTCTGAATTCCTGGGATAAATGAATTCAGTCATTATATCTATATATCTGTATGCTTATCTATTTTTATCTATCTAGATTCTAGATAGATCTAAAGATTTCATTGGCTAGTATTTTATAGGAGTTTTACATCTTTGATCGTAAGTGAAATTGGTCTATAACTTTCCTTTTTTTATATTGTTCTTGTTTGGTTTTGAATAATTTGGTGTCAAAATAGAAGTGAGCTTTACTTCCTGGAAGGTGAAGAGAATTTTCAGGGTCAAGGGCAATAGCTGTGTCCTGAGGTCTCATCCTGGGCTGATGGAGCGAGCCAGAGACATTCTATTTGTTTTTTAAAAAGTATATTTTTATTGATTTCAGAGAGGAAGGGAGAGAGAGATAGAAACATCAATGATGAGAGAGAATCATTGATGCCCCCTACTGGGTATTGAGCCCGTAACCTGGGCATGTGCCCTTGACCAGAATTGAACCTGGGGCCCTTCAGTCTGCAGGCGGATACTCTATCCACTGAGCCAAATCAGCCAGGGTCAGAAACATTCTTAAGGAGGCACCACTTCCTGCTGTGGAGGAGAACTTTCTAGAAGGAAAAATAAAGCAGCAACAGAGTGTGTAGGTCATGTGGGTTGCTGAGGACTAACTGGCTCTTTGAACCCAGTACCGGGGCTCCAGATAGCAGAGCTTGGCCGTGTCCAGTGACTGCACAGGCCTTGCACGGAGCAGTCCAGGGAGTGAGAAGCCCCGACCAACATCATGAGGTGACACTGCAGTGGTCTCACCTTCCAGGCCGCAGATTCTAGGGGCAGGGGCACTGCCTCTGAGCACATACTCTGGTCTCTGTTTTCTCCACCACTTTAAGAGAAACCTTTGCAACACTGGCTACCCCTCCCTTCTTTGCACAGGTTGGGCAGTCAGTACACTTGTGTCTTTCTGGAGCTGTTTACTCCTGGGGGCAGGACTGCCCCTGAGCAAAGGCCATGAAAATGAAGCTAAATTGAACTAAACACCCACAAACACTGAGTAGAGACTTGGATTGCCTTGGTTTTAATAATTAGCGGCAATTTGCATAATTGTCTTGACTTCTAGACCTCAACTTCATTTATCTGTAATATAAAACGATTTCTAGAGATTTTAAATAATCTCCCAGATTCATGCTGGCTTAAAAAAACTGCTGCCATAATTTTGTGACATTTCTGACTTTGTACTTATTTCCTAATCAGAAACACACGAATGTCGTTACAGCTCTTTTAAAAAGCCAACAGCTTGAAGTGATAGGAACCGGAGTTCATACCTCAGCTCCTCCGTTTACTGGCTGTTACCGTGGGCAGGTTGCCTAACTTCTCTGAGCCTCATTTTCCTTATCTGTGAAACAGGGATCATGCACTTTATCTCATAAGGTTACAGAGAGGCTAAAATCAGGTAAACTAGTACATAACCTTTCACAGAATGCAGAGGCTGGTAAGGCTGCTTTCTCAGATTGGGTCTGCTACCCACACCTGGATTTAAGCAAAAAAGGACTTACACAGAGGACTCAATCTGTCCCCCCAGAGTGATCCCCACCCACTGAGGCTGATTTGGAAAGTAAAGAAATCATCACGGTCCTGGCTGGTTTGGCTCAGTGGATAGAGCGTCGGCCTGCGGACTGAAGGGTCCCAGGTTCGATTCAGGTCAAGGGCACATGCCTGGTTTCAGGCCCGATCCCCAGTAGGGGGTGTGTAGGAGGCAGCCGATTAGTGATTCTCTCTCATCATTGATGTTTTTGTCTCTCCCCTCTCCCTTCCTCTCTGAAATCAATAAAAATATATTTTAAAAAAATCATCATGTTACCAACTTGGAGCAAGTCCCTCCTGACAAAGTGCAATTCATGGCTGCTAAAATTAAAGCCTTAAAGAAATAGATTGATAGTTAATCTTTAGTGAGTCCTTACGCTGCATCAGGCATTCTTATAAGCCCCTGACACATTAACTCAGCGGTTCTCAACCTGTGGGTCGCAACCCCTTTGGCGGTCGAACGACCCTTTCACAGGGGTCGCCTAAATACATCCTGCATATCAGATATTTACATTATGATTCATAACAGTAGCAACATTACAGTTATGAAGTAGCAATGAAAATAATTTTATGGTTGGGTCACAACATGAGGAACTATATTTAAAGGGCCAGAAGGTTGAGAAGCACTGCATTAACTCCTTTATGTCACAACCACCCCATGAGATAAGTACTGTTACTGTCCCCATTTTACAGATGATGGGGGAAAAAAAGCCCGGAGATGTTCAGTAACTTACTCAAGGCCACACAGTAAGTGGTGGAGCTAGGATTTGAACCCAGGGAATCAGGCTCCGTAATCAATGCTGCTGATCACTGTAATGCTGCCTAAATAGTATTATCCAACCCTTCCACACCCACTATTTTTAAAAGATTGGAAAATCTTTTTTTAAAAAAATATATTTTATTGCCGAAACCGGTTTGGCTCAGTGGATAGAGCGTCGGCCTGCGGACTGAAGGGTCACAGGTTCGATTCCGGTCAAAGGCATGTACCTGGGTTGCGGGCACATCCCCAGTGGGGGATGTGCAGGAGGCAGCTGATTGATGTTTCTCTCTCATCGATGTTTCTGGCTCTCTATCTCTCTCCCTTCCTCTCTGTGGAAGTTCAATAAAATATATTAAAAAAAAATATATATTTTACTGATTTTTTACAGAGAGGAAGGGGAAGGGATAGAGAGTTAGAAACATCAATGAGAGAGAAACATTGATCAGCTGCCCAGGTACATGCCCTTGACCGGAATCGAACCTGGGACCCTTCAGTCTGCAGGCTGATGCTCTATCCTCTGAGCCAAACCCGTTAGGGCTGGAAATTCTTTTTAAACATTAGCATTTATCGTTCCTGACAGGCAAATGCCTTCTTTAATGTTCTGCAGTGACATTTCGCTGCATTAAGGACTGTGTGAATGACCTTTATGGAGCTCAGCTGCAGCCTGCCCCGCTGCCATGAGGCAGGTAAGGTGTTTGACTGACTTGGTTGTTGCTTAGATTTGGCCATGTTCTGTGCTGTTTACCCTCTATTGCCCTTGGCGGGGACCTGGGAGCCTCGTCAGTGTTCACATTCCACACATGGATTTATGCTACGGAAGATGTGAGGCCTGGAGCGAGTTTCCCTGGCTGTTGTCACTCAGTTGTGAAAATGGAGGCGGCAGGATACTTGTGTTAGCAGGAACTTTCCTTAAAAGCTCGACCAAACCCAGACGTTGGGCTACCATAATATGGTATTGTCTCATATCTAGAGCAGTGAAGCCTTTTTAAAAAATTTTTTAAAAATATATATTTTGTTGATTTTTTACAGAGAGGAAGGGAGAGAGAGATAGAGAGTCAGAAACATCGATGAGAGATAAACATTGGTCAGCCGCCTCCTGCACATCTCCCACTGGGGATGTGCCCCCAACCTAGGTACATGCCCTTGGCCGAAATCGAACCCGGGACCCTTCAGTCCGCAAGCTGACGCTCTATCCACTGAGCCAAACCGGTTTCGGCAAAGCCTTTTTAAATGAGTATGAAAATTACTTTTGTCTAGAATGCCAAGTGAAAGTAATAGCAAAAGATGTACACAGAAAAAGATCAGGTTCAGGGTGAAATCCCAAACCCATGACTGCACACTCATCTCCAGTAAGCTCCTCTGGTCTCTCTCACCCACGGGGGACCAGGTGCCCCAGGGAGAGTCACTAAAGGACTACGTACACAAATTACTTCATTTAGTCCTCAGGCAACCTGTGGTTTCAGCCTCAGTTGCGGGCACTGAGGCAGAGAGGTGGAGGTGGAGGTAGTCCTACTCCAGAGCCCGTGCTCTCCACTGAGCCGCCCAGTACGCTGCTGTAGCCTAAACAGAGCATCTGATGTGAATTAGGGAAAAGGCGCCCCAGTACGAGGGCCACGTGGGCAAAGGAGCCCTTCTAAGCGGGCGCACCCAGGCCTGGGTGCACGTCTAGTGGGCAGCGCAGGATTTCAGCTCGCACCTGCTCCCTCTGCTGGACGCCTTTGTACAGCAAACTGCAAGCAGAACCCAGGCGGGCCCACCCTGCTTCACTCCTTGAGAACTCGAGTCTCTCACACCTGCTTTCACTCCTGCAAGAAGCGAGGAGGAGAGGGAACAGCTCTGCTACCCGAGCCTACCCTACGCAGCGTCACCCAGCAGCACGCCCAGGTACGCCCAGGGGAGAGCTTTGTGTCTCGCTCAGGGACTGAGACTATGAACTCTGCTAAAAAGCCCAGTTCTGGGCCCAGTAGGCTCATCATCATTATGAAATGGAGCATCGTTTTTGGAGGAGGCCACCCTCAAGCAGCTCGGGGTCTCTGAAGGTGCTGCTCCCCGTCTGATGACGGGATAGTATCCCTCCAGGCAGGGAACCGCAGCTCCCTCACCTGCATGTCCAAGCCCCTGTGAAAGCAGGAAACACAGAGGGAGGTGCCTGCGGGGCCTTTCGTAATGATCTCCGCCCGACCCCCATCTCCACTCTTCCATCCATCTGCAGCCACCGGCAGGAAGGAAATCGTTCAGTAAGTAAAAGCATGTTATTATCAATCAGTTGGCTTGTGATGCGCTAAGAACCCATGAGAGTCAGACTGAGCACTTTGGTCTGCATTCTGACTCCAGCCCATGACCTGGGAGGAAATGGAAGGGTGGTCACTCCCCATGAGCGTCTTTGGGGGCGAACTTCATCCGGCAGTTACTGGGTAAGATTCTAAAGCCCAGCCCAGCTGTGTCTCTACCTTGGGTGTCTTGATGATCTTCTCTGAGGGGTCCTCCTGCTTCTTGGTGATAGTCCAGTTCATCTTCACTTTCCTATTCGGTTAACACACAACAAAAGCACGTAAGACCAAAAGAAGTGCCAATACTCCAGCAGTCCATGCCTTTTGGTAAAAAGGCACCCAATGTTCTGAGTTGTCTCGTCTCCTTTTATGTCATCTTATTTTAACTTAAGTGGCCAGGAAGTCTGCTACCAGTGTGAACGGCCCTGAAAGGCTGGGTGGCTTACCCACAGCGCTGAGCAATTTAGGTTCTTCGTCATCCTCTTGTGGGAGGCTCATCCTCTCCACCTGTGCAGGGCTCAGTGCCGGGCATTCACAGGTGTAAACGGGGGAGGGGTGGGG